GGGACTCGATCCCGGGACTCCAGGATCATGACCTGAGCCGAAGGCAGTCGCTTAACCAACTGAGCCACCCAGGCGCCCTCTAGTTACACTTTTATGACCTCCGCTTTCATGGAGGGCTGCAGTAATGGTTTACCCAGGTCCACACAAAGTATAATAATGCCCTCTGTCATTAAAACCAAATTTCGAGGGTGTTGTAGATTCACATGCAATTGTAGGAAATGATACCCAGAAATCCTGTATACCCATTTCCCAGTTTTCCCAACGCTCCCAACCAGAGTTCTCCCAAACTATGGTTTTCTTGCAAAACTAGGGTAATGCAAGAGGCACGATATGGCCCTTCATGCAGTCAAGATACTAAACCATCCTGTCACCACAAGGCTCCTTCCTGTTGTAACCACACCCACACTTCTCGCTCTGTGTAGTTTCCTTAGCTTGCCTTTGTCTGGTTTGGGTGTCTCGCTGATACTGGCCTTGTAAAATGTAAAATGCATTGGAACATATCCCCGCCTCGTCTCTGTTCTGGAAAAGATGATGCACAATTGGTGTTCATTCCTCAAGTGTTTGGTAGAGCTCTCCAGTGAAGCTGTTTTCGGGTCAGTCTTCCTAGAGGCTTATCAGTTTTTTTCAAGATTTTTTCCAGTTTATTTACTTAAGTAATTTCTACACCCAACATGGGGCTCAAACCCACGACGCCACGATCAAGAGCCGCTGAGCCAGCCAGGTGCCCCGAGGCTTACCAGTTTTTTCATTCCCCTCACCCCAAGAGCCAGCTTTGTGTTTCATTGGTTTATCGCTATTGTTTTCCTGTTTTCGGTTTCACTGACTTCTGCTCTTACGGTTATTTTCTTCTGCTTACTTTGGGTTTATTTTGCCCATTTTCTACTTTACCAGTGTAGGAACTGAGATTATTGATACTGATTTTTTTTTTGCCTTTTTTTAAGGTTATTTATTTATTTATTTATTTGAGATAGCGAGAGCATGAGCAGGAGGGAGGGGCAGAGGGAGAAGGAGACCAGACTCCCCGCTGAGCAGAGAGCCCCCCGGGATCCAGGATCCCCGGGATCATGACCTGAGCCAAAGGCAGACACTTAACCAATAAGGCATCCCTTATTGATATTGATTATTGAGAAAACAGTGCACTTTTTTTTTTTTGAAAACAATGCACTTTTAATGTAAGGATCCCTAGTATAAAATACTTCTTGAATTCGGTGCCTGAAGGCTTATCTCCAGATATCCCTAACTAATGTGTTTTCCTTGTCGTTCTGGCTACCAGGAATCTCAGCCTCCCTGTTCTCATTGGTTTCTGGCTTGATTTTTACCGTTTGCTCTTATTTTTCTTGCTTTACAATATAAACTAACCCCATTCTTTTTAAAATTAACTGTTACTTGGATTGGAAAGGGAGAAATATTAAATGATTCTCTCCTATATCAGCTGCTTCTGGCAATGGAATTACCTCCTGTTGCAGTTTTCCTCTTGATCAGTAGGAGTTATCAACTATTCTGACCTACTCCGGATCGATACACACTACATACTGTACACGCACATCCACAGATAACCCCCGCCTCCCCCGCAGGATTCATTTGGGAAGTGGTGTTGCTTTGAGGTGTCATGGAGGTTATGATTTTTTTAATCCTAAATTATTCTTGGTAAGGATCCAAGCGTGGATACTAAAACTTTCATTTTATGGTAAAGTATAGCCCTACTCCATAATTAATTTCCTGTGGAATATTTTTTAAACAAGACTTACTAATTGGACAGAATACAGTTAGCATAAAAGGGAGGCAAGGACCACATCTGTTTTATTCTCCATGCGTCTCTGACACTTAGCACAGTGACTGGCATATGAACATGGACTGTTTGTTGAGTGAAGTGCCAATATGGTAGATGTGCTGGCTTCCGTAGAAGCCTTCACTATAGAACAGTAGTGATTCATTCCGTACGTGATCCTTCTGCTTTTGTTCTATGTGAATTGTGACAGTCACAGATTTTGTATCAAATTTGCATTCACATGTCCTATTCCTGTATCTAATGAGATACAGGCAGCTCGCTGAAATTATGTTCCAGTTACTTGTAAGTGTTTTAGCCAATCTTCATGCCACGTCACTTGTAAAAGTAGCTAATACTTCTGTGGCACACTGTAGTAAACTGAGGCAGTAAACTGCTTCTGGTACAGGGGACCTCCCAAAGGGAGGGGACCAGCGTTCGCATGACCCCCACTAGTCTATAACCCGTGAACATAGGGAAGCTGTACTTTTTAGACCTTACTGTCCGTAGAAATGTAGTGTAGTGCTTTAAATCACTTGTTTTCTTGTGGGGCCTGGGTGGCTCAGTTGGTTAAGTGTCTGCCTTCGCCTCAGGTCATGATCCCGGGGTCTGGAGTCTGGAATGGAGTCCCGGCTTCCCGCTGAGCAGGGAGTCAGCTTCTCCCTCTGCCCCTCCCC